AATGCTTAATGTTTTCAGAAGACTTCAACATGCAACATAACAAACGCAATAGTAGAGTAAAGATGGAAACTAAACACATAAACACATAAACGAAACAATACATAACCAATTAAACAAACACATACACATATGTACGAATTCGGAATAGAAACACAATATGAAGTAAACGGATACAGTTGGTGAGAATTTATATGCAGCTGAAATTATAGTTAGACAGAGTTCACATTCGTACATTCGTGCAGCAATGCGGCTCATAAATACGAAAATATTTCAAGTGTTAAGTAAATCGTATATAAACGCGCACAAACACAAACACACACACACACATACATACATACATGCATACACACTTACACACATAGACGAGCATAGTCGCAATTAAAAAGATATATACCACGTACATCTATATGCGTATTAGAGGAATATGAAGTCCCGAAGGATTTATTTATTTAGCAGCAACGCATTTAATAAGTTTATGTTTATGTTTACGGTGATTACGAAGTAAACGAAAGCAAAAAGAAAAAAAAAACAAAAAAATTGTAAGTAATCGCTCCTTACTCTAGACAAATGAATGCATAAATGCGAAAGTGTGTAAAAACAATAACATTTTTATGGAAGATAATAAGTGAATTGAAGCAAAAGTGCAATTACCAACGACCAACAAACATAAGTACACTGTGTAAAAAGTGTACGGAATTTATAATAAAAACAATAACCCTTTTCGTCTCGTTACTAATTTTCTCACTTTCATTTAATATATGCGAAGCGCTAGGTCGGTTGGACGACCGACATCTTTCCTTCATCGTTGATAGGTTCGAAACGAGATTTTCGTCGGTAGCAAATTTGATTTGAAAAACAGGTCAGGAAAGTCCGAACGGGCCTTTTGATGTGAATATGATGTTTATGAGACTATTTTAGCAAAATTTTTGACCAGAAACCTTTATATCATGATGGCTTTGCTTACTATGTCATTTTAGTCTACCTATTGGACGAAGCTGCTTCTTTTTATATATATGATATTTTGCTACATTAAAATCGGTCCGAACGGGACCAAACGGTTACAATTTTTCATATTTCTTATATCGTTTTTTATAACTGATATGCGAGTCTTGCGAGCTTTAACACAAGATTATTAACAGCTCGGTGCAAACCCATCAACTTACCGAAGTAAACCTCTAATCTTATAATTGCCACTGTCAAAACAGTGTTCGTAGGTTCAAAGCTGTGTACGAAGAAGTTTAATTGGGCTTAGTCGGTAAAGCCATATTTACTTGCTATTCGGGCGCGAAGGCCCCAGACTGCGGACCTTACCCTCCCTATCTCTTTCTATTTCCTCGTTTTTCTCTGATCGCCACCAGCATTATGTTTTTTCTTAATAATATCATCGATATGGATATCAAATAAAAGGCCTTGGTGAGAGGAAGGACGACAAGAAAAGAGTGTTAACTCTAAATTAATTGTGATGGGCGTCACAATGTAGCGAGTCAATGTTCTCGTCACAATATCGTTGATATGGGTATCAAATAAAAGGACTTGGTGAGAGAAAGGACGACAAGGTAAGTGTGTCAATTTCGAATTAATTATGTTGGACGTCACGGCATGATGGTTAATATTTCTTAACAATACCTTTTAGTGAAGTACGCGATGAAAGATAAATTTGTCCCATTCACTTTTTTATGCAATAAAAGTAAGTAAGTAAAGTAAAAACATATGGCGCTAAAGGGCTTAATGGTGGTGGACACGCGAGATTTAGCGCAGATTAAATATAACTTTCTTGTTTTCATTTTTTTTTTTTTTTTTTTTTTTTTTATTAAAAAAGAAAAATCATAATTTTTTACATTATTTTTATTTGTATTATATTTTTGATATTAAAGGAAACATATATTTGGCATAAGTAAAGGCAACTTAGAAATGCTAACCTTGTATGAATTCCACAACATTTTTATCAAACTCTTTATTCGATTTATGTATAAAGATTGCAACAAAAATATCATAAATGATATCTTTCCAGGTTCGGCCGGATAAGGTAATAAATTTCTTAGCTTCCAAATAAAATTTTTTTTTTAATAATTCTCTAGAATGGATTAAAGTCTTTTCATATCATTTTGAAAATTCAAAGTGCATACGTTTGCACGGTTGTAATAATAATAATAAAACTCTAAGCCAAATTAATTCAATTGTTTACATGCTGTTAGTAGCGCTGCCAATGGCGAAAAGTGTGGACAACGCAGTGAAATCTTGTGCGAGTTTGTAGAAATGTAAGCAGGATGTTGAAAATAGGCGAGAGCCCTTATAATTAAGTTCTTTTCCTTTATATAAAATGAAAGATGCAAATAGCAAGCTAGAGGACGGAAATTTTATGTAACTACGCTTGTGGTCTATTGTATATTCGCGATTTATTTCCTTTTTAGTTTCAACGAGATAAGCACCAATATTTACTATAAAAAGAAGCGGAATTGACTTTCACTGGTCATATTAATTATGATTTAAAAGAAGTGTGTGTGTGTTCTTTATTCAAATTTAGTATAAAATTTCATTGTAATTCTAATAATGTATTTTTGACTTTTTACATCCGTCATAGGCTAGTGTTATTTGATTCGTATCAATTAAAGAGTTTGTAATACATAGAATTATACCTTGACGATACGACGAAGAACGTATTTATTGTTGATTAATATGAATAGGTAAATCAACTACGAGATATCGGTCGGTCTACCTGCCATTTCCTCATTCCGAAAATTTATGACTTCGAAACTTCGTTAAAAAAGAAAATTCGATCTATACCTTTTCCCACCGCTCCCTTCATGTGCGGAAATTTATCTAAACCATAGCAAAAATCAATTACCAGAACATCATTAACAACAATCGAACGACATGTTCTCATAATGAATCCTGCCACGGTGAGCCACGTCAAAGGCTCACAGCCAGCAAGGAATCACGTCTCTTGAGAAGTTCTTTATGGCGTATACTCTTTACATAAACATGAAACGTTATACGAGGAATGTTTGAAAAAAATGTGACCATTTATTTTTCTCGAAAAATATTTATTTACTCATCAATGTCTATCTATCTTGTTCTCTTCAAAATAGTATTTCTTACGACATAAGACACTTGTGCCACCCCTTTCTTCAATCCGCGAAGCACTTCTGATATCTGTTTTTGGTATGACCTTGAGCTTTTCCAGCGATGCGGTCTTTGTCTCTGTAATCGCGGCAAAACCGTAAAAAGATCTTCAAAAATAGAACAAACCAAAAAAATTATATTCGGCTGCGACCGAATCCTTCTTGGCTTTATCCTAAAAAAAAAAAAAAAAAAAAAAAAAAAAACAGTAAAAAACCAAGAATTTAATGCTCTACAATACAGGATGAGTCTGGCTATTTTTTTTTTTTCATTTTTTGTAGGTTGTGCGTGAAAAAATTTTCATCATTTATCTGTTACCGTCTATAACTAACGACCAAAAAAATCATGAAAGAACCGAAAAAGAAGAGGGGCTTTTGGTTTCTGTTGCACTGTAGGTGTGTCTTTTGACCGATCCTTAGCCTTACAATTTCCAATACCAGTCTGCGCGCAAGCACCAAAACCGAAGATTACGTAAGGAAATTGTTCAATGTGATACTGTGGTTATGCTTCTGAAATTGTATGCACAATGCCTCAAAGCATTTATATTCCAAAATAGTGGACCTGCTCAAGAGATGGATGCCTTTTTGACTTTGAGCCTGTTAGGCACATCGTCATAAGACATGTTAGAAACGCCAAAAATCGTTAATTTTGACATCATAATTAACCGTAAATTTACAATTTTGTTTTCCTTCTTTCTTTCTAATGTTCATTGCAACGTTAAAGTGAAGAAAACCGAAAAAATTTCGAAACGCCATCTGAAACAAGTTCGAATTTCAAGTGATTTCAAGCCTTGAAAGTCCAACATGATCCATTAATTATATAAGTTAATATATATAATAACTATGCCCAACTATGTGTGAAGACGTGTAAGATGTGTAAACAGCATTTCCTGTCGATATATAGAGTAAGTGAAGATTTTCGCTATATGTCGCAAACAAGCATGGTACAAAAGTCCACCAGTAATTATATTCAATAAGAACTCGCTTTGCACTCATTAAAATGTTGTTAGGTATAATGCATGCTATCACTTTTTCCACTTTCAGTTTAGCAGACCAACGAATTTGAGATGATTGTATTTATGAGAAAAAGTGATTAAAATTGACTTTTTCACTGTCACCTATCCTTTCAACGATTTAATGTGTGATGTGTGTGCGATGTATATGTCATAGATATTTCTATCATGGGATGACATAAATTTAGAATTTGCTCTGATCATAATTGAGTAAGCAGTCGTAAACGTTAAATATTTATGGCATTGAATAAGCAGTTAAGGGAGCCAGGATAACTAAGATTTAAACGTTTTCTTATTTGTCATTGCACTATGCTCTCTCTTATTCATTTATAATTCGTTGTAACACTATGTAATTTGATTAACATTAATAATAAAAATAATGATAATACTTTGTGATGATTTGGCTGAGAGCAATCAATGCGAAAACGTATGGAAAGCTGTAGTGATAAACTTCACAAACTTGTTGTTATCGTTGATAGAAACTAGCTCTCGAAAGGAGCTTCGAAATTGTTTTATATCCTTTGAAAGCTATTTTTTGTATATAAATTTGTTTGTAATACGGTTATCAAGCATTTAACTTTGTCGCTTATTAAGATCGTGATAGGACTTTTTTGGTACAAGATGGTGAATATTTTTGCAATTTAAATTATGTGAGTATATATATATATATATATATATATATAAATGAAAACATTTTTCTTGGAAGAAAGGGAAAATAAAATGTGAAATAATGATGATCGCCATTAGAATTGCATTGACATATATTTTAGTATGCACTTTACTACAATAACATTAGTTAAATGCATATAGTATGGGGTAAGAAAATATTAAATTCAATGTAAAGATAAATATTTTGCTTTATGCATACCCCACAAATACTCCTGTGTCGACGTAGTGTGTGTAATAGAATATTGTCATCACTGTAATAGCGAATAACGCCAAAACGCAACGACGCACGTTGACGGCCTTCACAAAGGGCGAGCCAAAACAGCAACGTGCTATAAAGTTATTGCAACAATTACAAAATAAAGATGAGGGTGACGGTGATGTTGATGCTGTTGCTGATGCTGATGCTGATGGTGTCGTTAGATAAGCGGAGGAGTTAGAGGATGACGACAAAGGATGTTGATAATATGATGACGATGAAGCTGAAGAGCTGACTGTATTTAAATGCGAAGGGGAAACGGATACGGAATACGAGTCATCATCAGGAGGTAGCAGCAGTTCCGATGACGTTGATTTCGATTGCGACAATAAAGATTGCTTTTGTTGTTGCATTGGAACACTAACGTTCGTTGCTGATTGTATAGCTGGCAACAAACGCGTTGAGACGGATACAAATGTAGGTAAGATGGTTGCTACCGATGTAGATGGCAGTATATTAGCATTGGCCTTCGCAGGAAAAGCATTACTAAGAAAATATCTGTCACTGACGTCATCAAAGGCTTTCGAAGTCATATAATGATAGGGTGGCGATGGTGGGTTAGATATTTGCCAGCGATTTTTACTATCGTCTAAGCGCCTAAGTAAACCATCATCATTCTCGTCATCGCGACCGCTCTTTATAACATCACTAATTCCGTCGATTACTCGATCAAAACGCCACGAATGCGTGTTTTTTCTGTCACTTATTATTTTTGTTGCTGGCGCGGATGTCGCTGCTATTGCTGTTGTTGTTGTTGTTGTTGTTGTTGTTGTTGTTGCTGTTATTGTTGCTGTTATTATTGTTGTCGGTTTTGTACTAGTGGTGGCAAACGAAAATACTGATGGTGATAACTGCGTTGTGTCCGTTGTCAAATGTTGTTGCATATTATCCTTGTTATATTCATACATTTGCTGCCTTGTCGCATTTGCGGTCAACATTTCTGCCCTCGTTATCTTTGCTGCTTCTAATAATTTGTCATATTTTTTATATACCTTGCCTTCTTCTAGCAATCCATTGCCCGTGCTTCTAGTATTGTCGTCACCGCGATTATTAGCAGCTATCAGTGACATAGTTGCTGTTATTTTTTTTGATTTGTTGTTCTGATCTGAAATTTCACTTTTAGCGTTTTTACTTAAACGATTGAATTTCTTTGATATTGTCATCGTATGTGTGAAGCTATGTTAAGGTTTCGTTTCAATTTTTTTTTTTTTTTTTTTTTTTGTTGGCTTGGAACCTTCTTGTCGGTGGTGATGGTATACAATTTCAGTAGAGATTTTTTTTTGTTTTTTTTGTTTTCTTGTTTTTTGTTTCGCTGTATGAATGGGGGAGTAATAGTAGTTTTAGTTGATTTCCTTGTGAGAATGTTGTGGCAGCTGGAGATATGTTCGTTCGTTCATCTAAAGTTTAACGCTCTTTCCTTAACAACTAAAGTAATTGGAGTGGTATGGCACACAATACAAGAAGTATTTTTTTTTTATTATAACGGCTAAATAAGTACAGATTTTTATTTTTATTATTTTTATTATTTTTTATTATATATATATATATATATAATAAAATACACTTTAAAATCCGTACGTTGGAGTTAGTGTTCGTTTGTAATTTTTTATATATTTTTTTTTGTTTATTTTTGAAGCTTTAAAAGTAGATGATGAGTTTAGTTTAAAAATAAAAACACAAATCACTTTTATTTTTTCTTTGTTTTGAGAAGAATTTTAAAATTACACATATATCTTTCTTTTATGCTTTTTACAAATTTCGTTTACATGCATTGATAGAAGAAGAAGTAGGAGAAGAGGAAAGAAATTTGCGATTATTGTCCGTTCGCCACTTGATATGTTTCCAAATTTTTATGTATTCAACACTTTGTGTGATATTTTGAGCAAAGGCCATTTTTTTGTATTGTAACACTTGCATCAAAATGAGCTTTGCTGTCATCTAATATGGCAACATTGACATTATCATCATCGTCAGCATTGGCATGAGCATCAGCGTCAGTATCATTATCAACGTTACTACTGCTACGAGAGCTGTCGCTGGCATTAGTATTTTGAATATTATTGGCACGTATTTGTAATGATGACGTTTGCGTTGTGTAAATGAAAATTTCACTTGCTATGACTATTAGTATTTTTTTTATTGTTGATATTGCTGCAGCAGTCTTTGTATGATCATTAACTTCATAATTGAACATTGGAATTGCTTGTAATGAAATCCGTTCGACCGTTTTGCTATGACCATGTGGAAGAATAATCGACGCGTCTGTACTAAATCGTAATTACATCACTTTTGATATGTTATTCGGATTTCACTTTGACGGCAAACGGAACTTATTCGTGTCACAAGGGATCTGCAAGAAGAAAAATTCAAAAGATTAACATTTTTAAGTATGGTTTCTTCTTCTTCTTCATTTTAAGCACAATTCGTTGATAAATATAAATCATGAAATGAATGAAAAGAAATATCTCTTCATAACTTTCTACATTCTATTACCGCAAATTTACATATATGTAAATCAGTGAATATATTATAAAAGCATTTCAAAAACTTTTATGCGGATTTAATAAAAATTTGAAAACTCGTTTTTCCCCCTCCTCCGTAACACATAAAAAGAATATTTTTATAAAAATGAATTGAAATAATAAAAAATTTTAAAAATTTCTATAGCAACAAACAGTCGACGCTAGATATCTTCTAAATTCCAAATAGAGTTCTAAAGCGCACAAAATTGACAGATATATATATGTAAGTAGATATGCATGCTTGTATGAATCTATGTAGTACAATTCGTGCTATATTCAAATGGTTCATACATAGAACGATAACTGTCAGTTAAAGTCAATAAACGAATTGCGCTAAGCCATAGGTCTAACAACAAAGCGACGTATTTTTTTTGTTTTTTTTTTTCTTTCTTTTTTTTACAATAGAAAAGCAATAAATGTCAAAATAGATATTTTCAGTTGAAAAAAATATTCAAGCAGAGACGCTCAGTTGGGTAAATAGACAAGTCAGCTGGCGTAGGAGCTACATTCCTCGCCTTCAACCGAATACTGTACACCTTCTTCTCATAATCGCGACGGGGTATACTGAGAACATTTAACATTTCATTAATTGTGAGTATACACGAAGACCACCTGAGTGAGGAATAATATTTATATAATATTGATTTTTGTAATTTTCACGCGTTCCGAGAAGTTTTTCGTTTTCAACTATACAGGCTGAAATTCATTTATTTTGAAAAAGTTATTTATGTACCAATCAGGTGGTGAAGAGAAATTTTGTTAAATTTCCCTATTTTCTATCCATTATCAAGTCAGTGTTCATTGGTTCAAATCTCAAGTGTGGTATAGTTTTCTTTGGCTGCCGTTATAGAGGGTGCTCGGTCGGAAAAGACATAACACCTATCGATTCATTTGCACATCCACTACACTGCGGCCACCATGCTCCTAATCTCTTTCCCTTCTCTCTATTCTTTTTAGGTGTTATCGTGTTAATCGTATCGATGAAGGGACCACATCCCCCGAGTAAACGGTCATAGTAAATAAAAAAGATAAAAGTTCCCGGATTTAGAATTTCCAGACGAATTTCAATCAAGCAACGAATGCTCAAAATGTCACGCTTACATAGCTCTTTACGCGCTACAAGTAGGGACGCTGGTCCAAATGAAATAACATAATTAGTTCAAGCAATGTGATGTGTAATGAAATTTCTTAAATTCTTTATAGCGTGCACTGCCATCGAAAGGTGTTTTTGTTTTTTTTTTTTCTATTAACAGCCTATGTTGCAGCGAAAAAATGCTATATAAATATTTTTTATTGCATATTTGATACACGCTAATAAATATAATATGCAGAGGCTTAACATTTAATATATACACTAAAACGCTAGCTTGTTGAAAAACTATAGATTTGTTTTTGTAGTCCGGCACCTGTGTATATAACTATTGTGCAAGAACTAATGCCACGAGCGAGCCTAATAGAACTGACAACGATGAACGTTCGTAACAGACCTATTTCTCTATTACATTCATCGAAACGTTATGATTGCTTTAGGCAAATTAGAAACTATGTTCGCATAAAGGGGTCGTGAGTTGTTAATAAACGCGGACGATGAAAATTTCAGTCAATTATAAAAATACAGAGTCGATCCTTTTTTAATTTAATTAATTATAATAACGGAAATCTGATTTGGCATATTTTGAAACGTTAGTCACAATGTAATTGTCAGCCAACAATGACTCAGACAAATATGTCTGAGATTAGATCCGTTCCGAAGAATTGTGAATTTTAAGATAGTGTAGATCGCGTCCCAAACTTTACGCAAGATTTCAATTTGCCGATACTTATGCGGGAAAGTGTGGAGAAAGTAAACAAAAAAAAAAAAAAAAAAAAAAATAAAAAACAATTTGAAAGCCAACAATATAGGGCTAGCGAAAATGGGCATTACGCGAGAGAGCAACGTGTCGAGCAATATTCCGAAAACAGTGAAAGTTTGGCGGCCACATCTCGCAAATTTCGTACAAAATACGCCGTCACCTCTGTGACTCCGTTAATCGTCTTAACTGCCGCAATTGAGGTTCAGAGAGAGAACTCGAAAGACGAATTACACACACAACGTGTCCCTCTTTGCTGCGGATTTTGGGCAGAAGCCACGACTGGACCCTACTTTTTCAAAAATGAGTTTGGTCGGGCAAAGACTGAATATTCCACGCATAACCCTATCCTAATTACGTTCCGATTCAATAAAAAAATTACAATTGAGAGAAGAAATAACAGACACACTCGTTGCTCTCAGCAGATATTCTGCTATATATATTTTTTTGCGGGAGTAAGTCACAAATATCGGGATTTAATTTCGCCTTTTTAACTTTAATCATGTCACTTGTTGAGTTTCCCGGGAATCGTTATTAATATCTTCGTCAATCGTCCATATTATGAGGCGTTTTTACTTGTTCGTTCACCCTATCAGGTAACGTATCGCATATTTTTATTTCTTTTCGATACCTTAAGTAATTTGGATTTTTTTTTTTTTTTTTTTTTTGGAAGAATCAGTTGGCTTTCGTGCAGACCTGATTGGCGTAAGAATATGGCATATAGACTCAATGAATGCTCTAAGATCGATGACAATGAAGACCGGATTTTTAACTTATTATTATTTTTGCAATATTTTTATTTTATTTTTTATTTATTGTATACGAATTTATAATAATCGATTTAAATAAAGCTCCAACGCATTGGAGGTATTGCATAGCGGCAAGTTTGCAAAATTGTATATCAGGAAGCATGTATATAAAATTTATAATTACATAACGTTAATAATATATATATATATATATAAAAACCCACTTTCGGGTCTAAAATCGATCAATAGCATACCGATGTGTCAATCTTCTTGCAAAAAACTTTTGTATAACAAAATGCAAATACTTTTGCAGAAATT